GGGAAGAAATCCATGATCTCATGTAACTACATTTTAGCATTCATTTGGCTCTGCACAATTACAGAAATAAGCTACAGAACAGAATTTTCTTTATAATGTACTTTTGTCAAGTTAATGAGACCGGGTATTTCAAAATATTTAATATGAGAAAATACTGCCACCTGGAGATCAGAGGCAGGTATGGCGAAGCGAACACTGGTTCGGTGATGCTCGATTTCACCCCATTCTGTCACTGGCCAGCACGAGTCTAATTTCTCCTCACGTATTCATTCATTGAGCACTTGCTAAGCTTGTATCATATGCCAGACACTGTGCTAGACTCTGATTACAAACCTGTGTAACACCTAGCTCCTTCCTTCAGTAGCTAACAGACCACTGTGAAAGAGAGGCAGATTACAGATTAAGATTTAAATGCAATCAAATTGCACCCAACCTTATATGGCAGAAAACATCTCTCCCACTTTCTAAGATTTCAGGGTAGAAAGTGGTTTCTAACTTCCCTTTTTTCTTGGAATCTAAACTCCTGCCTCATCCAACAGAGACCAAGGTAACAGACTTCACACCTTCAGCACACCTTTCCCTTCCTCTGCACCAAACGTGCTGAAGACCACGTGGATTACAACCTTCCCCGTCTGACGTCTGGAGCCATTTATGCTTGGAAAGCTTTGAGCTTTCAGAGGATTTCTCTTTTTTCCTGTACAGGATTGACCCAAGGTTTCTAATTGAGCTACATCCCCAGCCCTCTTATTTTTTGAGCCAGGGTCTTGCTAAATTACTAAATTGTCCAGGTTGGGCTCAAACTTTTGATCCTTTCGTCTCAGCCTGCTGAGCGCTGAGATTATAGGCATGCAGCATCATGCCTGGCTTTTGTCTAGCTACTTATAAAGTTTCTCTTATAAAACCATTATATCCTAAGGCTAAAAAGAAATATTTTAAAGCTGCAAGTTTCAATAATCTGATGACGAGCTATGGTAGAATCTGCTAGTCAAATTGGGTATTTTTAAAATCAACAATGTTTAGATGTCTTTAGCACATTTAAGGACTATAATGTGAAAATTTACTCATAAATTAATTAAAGTCTTGCCTTTAAAGAAATGAAAGATACAGTTCTTTAACTGAAACATTCCTATTTCAATAGACCTATATAAGTTTCAAACATGTTTATCATGAGTAGGGGTGGTGGTGCCTGTCTCTAATCCCAGCTACTCAGGGGGCTGAGACTACCCTGGGCAATTTAGTCAGACACTGTCTTAAAAATAAATACATAAATATATGTACCACTGTTGCCCTTTGATTGGCGTGTTTTGAGATTTTGTTGTATTTTTTTTCTTTTTATTAAATTCTTGAATAAAATGGATTTTAAAAAAATATAAATGGCTGGGCATGGTGGTACACGCCTATATTCTCAGCACTTAGAAGGCCAAGGCAGGATTGCTCTGAGTTTCAATGCCAGCCTGTCCTGTACACTGAGACTGAAAAAAAAAAAAAGGAAAAACAGAAAAGAAAAACACAAACAGGGCTGAGACTGTATCCCAGTGGTAAAGCACCTCTGCATTTAATCACCAATATCAACTTTCTCAATCTCATATCCTCAAACAGGCTTATGTGCACCAGTGCCTGGGCTTACACAACTGTCACTGCTTACTATGACTGCACAATCAGTAACCTGAGTCTCATCTCTTTTCCTTGCTCTATGTAAGATTTGTTACTCTACTGACAGAAATGATGCCAATTTACTTAAATTCATGCACAGTCCTGAGGCAGGAGATTAAGGCCTGGCTGGGTTGGCTGGGGAAGGGGTGTGGACTGTTAATTTACAAAGTCCCAAAGCCCTGTGCGGGACTTCTGAGAATGGAACAGTTGGGACACAACGCCTCAGACCCAACCAGCTTGAGGTTGGGGGACACAGACAATGCCAATGAGCTCCGGACCACTGCCCCTTTCCCACAGTGATCCACTCTCAAGGTATACTTCTTTTTCCTCTTGGCCCAATCGCGCTCGATAGAGTAGGTTTCTTTTGCCATTTTCAATAAACATAAAATCTCCCTACCTTTTGCACTTGTTTTATCCAATTATATGCTCAGGACAAGAACCTAACAATCACCTCTAGAAGGAGGCCCCAATACCCCCAAACCAGTAACAATTTTCTTTCTTTTTTCATACTGCAGGTTGAATCCAGGGCCTTTGCATCTAGCTATGTCCCCAGCCCTCTTTGAGACACTGTCCTGCAGTGTCACTAAGTTGCCCAAACTGGGCTCCAACTTGCCATCTTGCAGCCTCGCCCACCAGAGTAATAGAATTACAGGTGTGAGCCCCCACAGCAGGCTCGCTCTGAAATAAACTTTACATTACATAAAGAAATGAAATGTTTGGGAATCCTTGCTTTGCTTTGATTTGCTGCCTTCTCCCCTTTCTCTGCTCCCATCCTCATCCCTCCCCTTCCCCCAAGCCTCTCTGCCACACTAAAAGCCATTCCCACAGGCACTGCTTAGCAGCCTCTGCTACTCCTCGGTGATGCTACTAAACGATCAGCCACGGAGAGAAAGCTAAGGGGAAGGCTGGCACCGCACCGTGGACTCCTTTTTAAACCAGGGACTTCCTATTACTAGTATGTGTAGAAAAGATACTGGGATGATAAGTCATCTTCACATCTTGCTGATAACCATTCCCCAATTTGATAACAACTCTTGCCCTTCAAAAGAACGTGTCCAAGTGTGATCCAAGCACTCAGGAGGCTGCTGCAGGACTGCTTCGAGTTCAAGGAGAGCGTGGGTTTCGCGAGTTCAAAGCCAGACTGAATTGCATTGGGAGATCTCTGTCTCAAAGACAGAGAGACAGTCTGATATTTATTTATTTAGGTCAAGGTCTTGCTGTATAGTTCAGGGTTCACAATGTAGCCTCACGCTGGCCTTGAATTCGCAGCGATCCTCCTGCTTCAGCCTCCCTACTGGCTGAAATTACAGGTGTGCAACACAACGGCTGCTCTATGCCTTTAAAAATACCTCCCCCCCCCCCAAGATAATTGTGAACAAGGAGGGCCGTGTGAGCACATTCCACGCTCCAGCTCGTCTTCGCTCCACCTGGCACGGACAAGGCTTCGTCATCAGCAAAGTTGGGAGAACCGCGGGGTCCTCCGGGTCCCAGGTCTCAACGCAGTGAACCGAAAACCGCCCCACCCCAAGCTCACACCGGGAAGGCTACTCAGGCCTGGGCAGGAAGCTTGCATTTCTTCTATCATTCAGGATTCGGCCTTCTCTCCCACTCTTAAATTCCTTCTCCAGGGAAGAAGTGCTGCAAAAACAGTCACTAGAGACACCTGGATCGCAGCTTTTCTAAGCCTCAACGTCCTCAGTTCTAAACAGATTTCGGAGCCATCGCTCGGAACAGATAAGGTAGGTCGAGCGCCCGAACAGAATAGCTATTTTTTTTTATTTATTTAAGAGGAAAAAGAGAAAAACACAAAACAAACCAAAGCGGCGTAAGGGTACACGCAATACAGAACTACAAAACAAAACAAAACAAAACAAAAAAAACATAACAGTAAGAAATTACCTGCTAGTAGATTACACACTATTTTCTTGAAAATAGTTCCTCAAATCACAGTATCAAAGAACACAAGGTGGACATTCAAACAGGGAGACTGCAAACAGCTGTGTTCAATGTTCCAAAAACATTGATAAAGTCAGCTATTTAACACCCCCAAACACACTTGCTGTTATATCCGTTAGAGCTCTTTTTCTTTTTCTTTTTTTTTTTTCCCTTTTTTACAACAAAATTTACACATCTTGGATTTTATTACTCCTTAGTGCTTATTACTTTCTTTGGGGGGGGGGGGAGAATACAGTCAAATATGGCAAAACAAAGCTGTCAGTCAATACCAAGGATAGACATAGCACATGGTGTAGAACAGAGTACAAGTTTATCAACAATGGTTATCAACGTTGTCCCTTGTTTCCTTAAAAAGAATTGTCTATCTTATTAGATATTATAAAGTTGGACAAAACAGTAGAGAACAAGACCAATAAAACTTAGGCATTGTAAACATTACAGGACTTCCAAAGAAGACAATAGTCAAACCAGAATGGGTATCTTAGTGAATCTTATTGTCTTCAAAGTAGTTGCCTATGTCTTCAAACTTGATACTATCATATAGAATGGAACAGAGTCTAATCAGTCAAAACAAGATTGTGGGAGTACTACAGGACTTCAAAACAAGTTAATAGGAAATCGAAAAGAGTTACTATTTATATATCCTAATTTTTTTGAATTTTTTCTTTAATTAAGACAAACATAAGAAATGACTAAATAATTTTTTTTTTTGAAACAATAAGGGGGAAATTGAGATAAAACAGGACATAACAATATAACAATAGAGGTCACAGCATGACTGTTTCAACAACCTAGTACTTCACCACCTTGTAACCTGACTTAATAGTAGTTACCATAGTGGCTTTTTCCTTGAAATATTTGGGTAAAAATTCATATACTCTAGCTTCAAATATTTTCATATCAAGAAGCCCAGAATAAAGCCTTTCTAATTAATGAGTGAAAACTTTATAAGGCTTCAAGAACATTAACGGCGGTAGTAGTAGAATCGCATTCCGGGCTCAGGCCCCCGACGGAACCAAGGTTTTTCCGCACAGACTTCACTTCGTCCTCTCCTTCAAATGTCAAAGCCGGGAGAGATTTAGGGGCAATCAGAGAGCAGTCGCCAAGGCGACGCCCCGCCTCCACGCTTGCTCGAAGAGCATGCTGGGAGTTGTAGTTCGAGGGAGACGCTCGCCGAGGGTCGGTACACTTCCATGGAGGGGGGGCATTATAGTCATCATTCCTGTTTCCACCGCCACTCTTTATCACTCCCTGTTTACAGAGCCTAAAAGTTAAATGCTAACCATGAGTCCTCCTCTCCCCAGCCGTCAGAGTTACGTCTGAGGGCAGGGCAGGGGAAGTCACGCAGTGGCAAGGGCGCAGCCGGCCGTCGCTCCCGCGGAGCATGAAGGAGTTAGACTTCCGTCCAGGGAAGGAGGCCCCGCCTTCTCGCGTCACTTCCGTAAACAAAGGGCGCTGCCGGCGCGAGTCTGGGCATCCCAACTTCACTGGCGGGTGCTGAGGTGGTCGCTTTTGGGGCTCTTCGCTCCTTGCCTGTTGAAGAAAGGGACCCTGGGCTCCTTCTTCATCGGGTAGGTGTTAAAAGTAAAGGAATCCCCACAGCATTTGTTTAGGCCCTTTCCAACACCCACTGTGGTCATTGTTGGGTTCTGGGTAGTGATGGGTCATCGCTTCGGCAGATTGGGGAAGGACACTGAGGTGACAAGAGGACCTTTTGGGGGTGCTGTTTGGGGAAAGAACCAGGCTCTTAAAATCAGTGTTGCGTAACCGTGAGCAGCTCACGCCTTCTCTAGAATGTTCCTTGCTGCTGGGTATTCAGGAAAGATTTCAGTGCCCTTGTGCTGGATGTTACCTTCTCACACCCAGAACTCTAAAAAGCCCTGAGTGCCTAGAGCAGTGTACGTTAGAAAACACCTTTGGTTTAATAGAATCTTTTTAAAAGATGATGAATTTCCTAGCGCAGTTTACAATCTGATAATATTTCTAATTTAAATCTACAAGTAAATGAATCAGTTGACTTAAGAAAAAATTCAGCACTGTACACAAATAAAGAAACGTAGGAAGGTATTTTTAGATAGATGACTGTTGAGAAAATAAAACTAGTTAATTTGTGAAATAGGGCAAAACAGTTGGGATAAATCCGTGGGAGGGATGTCTGTGACTTCATGGAGCTGTTTTAATATGAGCAAACAACATATAATTCATGGGTTTTTTGGACATAGAGAAATTGTATTCAGATTAGACAAACAAATTTGATTTCTTAGTACTTCACATAATCACAGATCTAGAATTAGCAGTATGCCTAGGCATGAACCTAGTTTCTCTTTGGTGACATAACTTCTAATTGCTGATGCTTCAGCAGTGTTATGTGTTTGAATCTGGTTTGTTCTTCCTAAGAATACCACATTTTGGAAGAGAAACCTGGCGGCCTCCTAAAGCTTGAGTCAGGCTGAGATGTTACATGGATGGCTTATTTTTTTATATATCATTCACCTTGCACAATGTCAGCTTTTTGAGAGAAGGAATTTGGTTTTAGTTGGTGTTTCTCCAGAATTCATAGTGGAAGAGAGTCAGAAAATATTTATAGGGTGAGTCAGTAAAGGAAATGGTAAAGTCTACAAGACAATTAAACTTAATAGACCTGATGACCTCTGAAATTCTTAACCCTCTTTTCATTTTGTGAAATGAGTCTTTGCATCTCTTTCATTTTTGCATATTATAGTACACATATGTGATTGCTGTATTTTCTTATGCAGGCCGTAAGAGGCTGCCCTCAGCGAAGCAAGAACTCAGGACAATGGAAGAGCGGAAAGTGAAGAGGAGGAGCCCTAAGTCTTTTAGTGCCCACCCTACTCAGGTTGTTAATGCCAAAAAAAATGCCATTCCAGTAAGTAAAAGCACAGGGTTTTCAAATCCTGCATCACAGTCAACTTCACAGCGACCAAAGTTAAAAAGGTGAATTATTTTTTTCCCATTTTCATACTAAAGTACTAGTAAATACTAAATCAGTTTTTTTTTCCTGAACTCAGAGCCTTGCACAAGCTCAGCAGTCAATACACCGAGCCTCATCCCCAGTCCTAAAGCAACTTCTTAGAACTTTCTTTGATTCAGCCTGACTTTGAAAGCAAAAATCCTGAATGTTTCCTCTGAAAAAATTGTCAGAAAGCAAGAAGTTTTCCTCTTGGGAGGAATTGAATAAGATTTTGAATTAAGCTATAGTTGGTAGGAAAAAAGCCAAAAAAATTTTAAAGGTGCTTATAACTTTCTTTAAATTCTTGATAGCAATTATATTCCCACCCACTTGATACAAGAGATTGTACTGAGTTACCTGTATCTCTGGCCCTGTGGTTGTGACCCTGTGATACATGTGCTACAACCTGCTATTATCATTGAAAGCTCTAGAAGGTTTGTCACCACTACCCTAGTCCTTTTCTTATTTGTTAATAAAATAAAACTCAAGCTGAACTGGTAATCCACCTGCCTCATCCTCCTAGGATTATTCCTAAGATTGCTCTTTTTTTTAAGCTGGTAATTTTATTTCTGTGTCTTCTAGAATGTAAGGTTCCTGTGGGGTGGGACTGTATTGGTCATCATCATGTGCCTGACAGTGGCAATTGCACATACTGTAATTTCATCATGTTTTTTATTACTGAGTTGTTTTAGCATAAAGTGAGACAATGGGACATAATCAGAGGCAGTGAAGAAACAATAAAGGGGATTTTATCTTTGTTTTTTTTGTTGTTGTTTTGATGCTTGTTGCTTGTTGAATGATAGCCTGACTTGGATAAAACTTCCAAATTTGAAAGGAAAAAATGTATTTGCTATACTGAAACCTTATAGGCTATAATGGCTTATCTTAGATTTTAATGTGAGTGTAGATTTCTTGGGGATCATTTAGCATGCAGATTCTGAATCATTCAGTGTTGGATGAGCATTTCTAATTAGCTTGCGGGACACCCCCTGGACACTCCCTGGCATTCTGATAATTAGCATCAGGTATGCTCTGTTTTATAAGCTCATGGGTGAGGTTGCTGTTATTGAGTCTTGGTCAGCACTGTTGAGTACCAAGGTACTGGATGATGTGATTTACTACTACATATCAAAAATGCAGACAATATTTTGTGAAGAACTGCTACTGTCAACAGCCTGTGAATTTTAAATTTCTTGCTAAGAGTTACTGGTTTTTCTTGTGCTTCATCCCCTCCTTGGTTTTATATATATATACCTGTTTATCTTCTTATAGTGAGTATAGTTATCCATTCAGGAGGTGTCCATTTAACTGCATTGAGCACTGAATTTGTGTGTGTGTGTGTGTGTGTGTGTGTGTGTGTGTGTCTGAGTCTGAGAGAGACACACACAGAGAAAGAGATCTGTAGAATGCATTTTGTTATGAAGATGTTGTGTTTCATCTATTTAACTTGTACTTCTTAAGCCTTCCCCTACTCCCCAGTATTAGGGAGTGAGCCTGAGCATCACCCTGACCTATATCCCCAGCTCTTTTAATTTTGAGACAGGATCTTGGTGAGTGGTTCAGGTTGGCCTCCAATTTGAAATCATCCTGCTTCAGCCTCCTGAGTAGCTGGGATTGTAGGATACATCACCTTCCTGCTGGCTCTGAACTGTGTGAACTAGTCTCTCTGTTCCTATAAAGTAATGTGCATAGCACATCACTGAAATATGTGCCTGGTGTGTGAGAGACATATGTAAGGAGAACAGTTAGTCTAGGGGTTCCAAAATGCCTTTCTGAGAAAAAGCGTTAAACTGAGACTTGAAGGATGTTTGGGAGACAGCCTGGCAAAGGTGGCAAGAAGTGGAAGGATGCAAATGCAGGCAGAAAATTCACATGTAAGGACATTTTGAGTTTCTAGAAAACTAAACAGATTGGGAATGATTAAAGGCAATGGAAGATAGAGCTTAAGGGTACCAGCCTTTGTTCAGCAGGCGTGCAAAGCTACCAAAGGACTTAAATTAATAAATTACATATTCTGATGAAATATCTTTGGCTGCCTTGTGAGGAGGGAAAGGGGGCGAGAGGCCATGCACAGAGACAGAGAGAGTGCCGGGAGGGCGTTGGCCAGGAGATAGCTCTGGCAGTGGCAAAGGAGAGCACTTGGGAGCTGAACTTCTGTATGGATGGGATTCGTAGGAGTTCAGGGCTGCACGTTCCTTAGAAAATGCATGAGTCGGGGCTGGGGGTTTAGCTCAGCGGCATAAGCGCCTGCCTTGTAAGCAGGCAGTCGTGAGTTCGATCCCTGGTACCGATAAAAAGGAAAAAGACAAAAAAACAAAACAAAACATAGAAAATGCATGAGTCAAGGACACTAGCAGGTGTTTGGCACTCTATCCCATGGCGACGTGATGAAATAGCTTCCTTTCTCCTTACACTGGACATCTCTGGCCTAACGTCCGTATTCATGTGGGAGAACTCCTGATAATTCAAAGAACAAACAAGATAAAGTTCAAAAGGAAAACAAACAGGTAGTAAAAAGACAAGATTTTTCAGTTTTTCATAGTCCAAAGATTTAGTATGTTATATAAACACATGAATTAAATGTGTATGTCTTTGAGAGAGAGTCTTGCTATTTAGTTCAAACTAACCTTAAACTCACTATATGGCCCATGCTGGCCTTGAACTCTCAGGGATTGTCCTGTGTCCAGGGTTCTGGGGTGCTTTGATTTTTGGGATTCTTTTTTTTTTAAATCTGTACCGGGGATTGAACTTATGACTGCACGCTTGCAAGGCAGGCTTATGCCTCTGACCTAAATCCCCAGCCCTTTCCAGAGATTCTTATGAGGTCCTTATGTCTTGAGCAAAGAACTGGGCAAAACATGCAAAAAAAGGTGGTGATGTTTTGCATTTATTAAAGGTAGGAAAAGAAGCATGCTCAACAGAGTAAGCGCAGACCAATTAAAGTTAGGAAGAAAAATACTCTGCAGAATTCAGACTGGGCTACAGAAAGACCTTACAGCGGCCACGAGCTCATGTTGTATCCCCCATGGTGATGTCAGATCTAGGTTGTCCTATCAAAAACCTGCTTGATCTCGCTCCAGAAGAATTGAAGATAGCATTTCCTCTCTGCTGGCTTGCTTGCTTTGTCTTTTTTGAGACAGGCTGACCTAGAAGTCATATTTTTTAGCCCAGACTGGCCTTACGGTCACAGTGATTCTTCTGCTTCAGCCTCCCAAGTTTGAAGGTAGCACTCTGTAATTGGCCTCAGGTGCAAGGACTGGGAGCTTGTGCCCAGGCTGTCCATGATTGACAGGTTGCACTCTGTTGTTGCCTGCCTCACTGACCACTCCCTAATCTGCCTCACGTCTACCTGGAACATAAAACCCCCTTAATTCTTTATGGGGTGCTGAGTGTGTGCTAGTTCCTGCCTTCATGTAGCTACTTAGTTGATAGGTGTTGTAGGCCCTACCTGTGAGGGTTGTGTTCTCTCCATCTAGCTTGGGACGTTGGGTTCACTGGCTGGGTTGAAAAAACTGTCAGGAGACAGTAAGCAAGGGATCAGTGCCTGTGTGTGAAGAAGTGTTGAGCTGCCTGCTCGGTGGGAGAAAGCTTGGTGACTTTGTCAGTGGGCTATACTCTGTCTGGGCCACTGTCTGAAACCTTGAACGGATCAGCTTTACTGTTAGATTGGGGGTGTAGAGCCCAGCAGGTCAGAATATTTCCTGGACCGTTGAAAAAGGTAGACTATGACAAATCCAGCAATTAGAGACATTAACTTTTATTTTCATGTTTCTTGTGGAGGAGGAAACATAGCTAACAGATATTAGATCATTTCCTGAGAATCTGAGAGCCATAACCCTAGCGAGATTACCTACATTATGAATCTAATTAAACACAGGCATCCTAATATAGTATGTAAGCTGCGGCGGGTTAGGAGTCCTCAGTGACTGCAGCCGGCGCAATCCTGGAGGCTCGGTATTTGAAGCAGAGCCTTAGGCCTTCCAGAGGTGTGGAGAAGTAGCTGCCCACCTTTTTTGGGGGGCAGTCTTTCTCCTCAGACAGTTCCATGGGGCCAGCGTGAGTCCAGCTGCCTGTCTCCACCACGGTTACTGCAGTGGGGTTGGCAAGAATGGCTGAAAAGGAGCCCTGCCATTTGGGCTTTAATGGTCTGCAGGAGTCCCTTCCTCACAAGTTTTAATGAGCCCTTGGTCTACAGGTGGACACTAGGTGGTCCCCTTGGGCTGGGAGCTGGCAGGACTTGTTCCCATGTAGTTGGACAATGGTCCACATTACTTGGTCCTATTGTACTTGGTCCACATTAATCCTGTTGTACTTGCTCCACATTAACTTGTATTTGTCCACAGTATTTGTGTGAAGCCCCGCATGGTGGCAGGTGGGGAAAGTCTAATTGCCAGTGCCCCCAGGTATGCCATGTCCTCTGTACAGGTTCCAGCAAAGGAGGTGGCCTGGGCTTGCAGACCTGTCAGGCGGTCACTAGTCCTAGCCCTGTGAAAATTCGAGTGACCATTATTCCACGTAGCATCTCTTCCATAGGAAAGAATCACGAAGAGACTTTCTGGTTCTCTGCTGTATCCCTTGAGGAAAGACTGGATTGTTTTCCAAATACCACTCCTTTAATTCCCCCTTGTCCTAAGGCCCGTTTATCTTCCTGGGGGCTGTGGACTGCTTTTACTGATTCTCAGGTACCAGGAATAAGGCTAGCGTCTGTAAGGCCACCCTCCTTTCCTCTGTCAGCCTTTTGATTTCACAAAGAGACTTCCGACATGTCTCTTTGGTGTCCTTTGCAGTGAATGACAGCGACCTGCCTGGCAAGGTTGACCGCCTCCAGGAGTTGCAGAATTTCCTACTTGTGCTTTATCCACCAGGGTGTGGATTGGGGTTACAAAGCTGTTACCCAGGCAGTGTCTTGCCCCGTCCTGCGCTCTCCTGGAAGCTCTCCTTCCGGGACACTGGAGCACGGCCGCAGAAGGTCCTGTTTGAGAAGCCTGCCTGTGAGAGGCTGCAGTTTACAGCCCTCCTCTTTGATTCGATACTGCTTTTGTTTGGAGATGGCTGGGCTCTTTTAGCTTGTAGCCACTGTATTGCTGCATTTGCCCTCTCAGCTGTCTCCCACACCATGCAGCAGGATCTTCCTGGAGCTCTGGAGGCCCACACAGTCCCAGTGGGTGACATCTGCGCTGGCCCTTGCTGGGATTTGAGAATTGCCCCCTCTTTTGCTAGTAAGAGAGTGAGACACTTGGATAATTAAGTCATGGTTGAGTGATGAATCCAGTCATTGTGTATACCTAGAAGGCCCAATAAACTTAGTTAACTAAAAAACACTCACGATTGAACATCTGACCTTCTCCCTGACATGTCAGACAGCTGTGAAGAGGCCGCAGCTAGGATTGGATTGAACTCCAATTATGGCTTTCGATCTAAAGGAGGATTTGCCAGAGAAGGAAGTTGAAACATCTTTAAGGAATTGGAATTGCTTGCCCGTGGCATCAGGGTCACCCGGGGTTCCTCACAGGAGATGACAGTGTCTGTGGGCGGGAGCAGCGCAGACAGGACCGAGTCCCTCCAGTCCTCTTCGTCAGAGCAGGAGGTGAGGGTTTTAGCTGGCCTTGCCCCTCTCTGGGAACAGGCCAGTCTGGCCTCCGGTGGGCCGACTGACACAGAGCCGGGCCGGGTGGTGGCTTGGTACAGTCATGTGTCTGATGTCGCACTTCCTTGTACTGTGTCCCTGAGTAGCCCTGGGTTTTCCCTTGGATGACTTCCATGTGCTTAAACAGTTGTCAGTTCTGACAGCCATAATTCTGGCCCTTTTCTCAGTGCTTCTTTCATCGTTATCTACATCCCCGTTGTTGAACACAGAAGAGGGTGTGCACTGCAGTTGAATCATAGAGGTTCAGCAAGTGGCTGAGACTAATTCTGCATCTCACGGTGATAGATGGAAGGAAGGTCACAGGGAGAACCTCTCCACAGACCTATCAGGCTCTTCTGAAAATTGGCCTCACTGTTCTTTGCAATGCTGGGTCTCTGCCACTGAGAAAGGAACCGGGACTGGACTCAACCCTCTGCGCCTGGCACCTCTCAGGGGCAGGAGGAGCTGTGAGTTGGAGGCACTGTACGTGCTCGGAGTGCCCCGTGGGGCTGAAAGCTGTGTGAGGAGCATGAGGAGGGGGCTCTGGCGGAGGCCCGAGTCATTTGGAAGATAGGACTGATTTCTTGGCTTGGGGATTATAAGGAGGTTGAGGAGACCACCATCTCCTCGATTAGCAGAGATAGAAGAGCCACAAAAACCTAATAGGGATTTCATACCACTTTCCTTGCCTATTGCAAAAAAGATCTAACTGAAGAATAGCATCATAATTTAGACAGCTGTTCTGCACCCCTCTTTCACCGTTTCCTAGTTTATACTGGACCCAAGCAGTATTGCAGTAGAAGATAAGCTGTTCTTCTCCAGATTATCAGGCTGGAATTGTTCTCAGTTCTTAAGGACACAGCCATGGAGAGGTCTCCAGGGTGTTTCCCCGTGATCTGCAGGGTGTTCCCCGTGGTGTGTCATGGGCCTGTGGAGAGACAGAAGGCTTGGTCCTGGTCCTTCACATGTCTTCCCATGCAGAAGGATGCAGACCTGTTGAGTTCTAAGTAGTCCCCAGTAAGACTCAGGCTCCACCAGACGTCTCTGGTGAAGTGGCGCTGGGGCTCTTGTTCTCCCCTCTTAGAACTCCATATCCTGTGCCATACCCTATGGCCCATTAGGGCTCCTTAGAGAGGAGGGTGGAGCTCCCCAGGGCTCCAGCTGGCTGCTGGGGAGACAGTGAACTCCTAGAAGTTGAGGGTTCTAAGTACAAGGCTAGGGTTGTCATCCCGTAACTTTAGCTCTACTTCTGCGAACTCACAGCCAGATGACCTGACCTTTACTGGCTGTTTCCTTTGTTCTGCTCAGGCCAAACTCAGATTTCTAGATTACCTGAATTTCTGTTAGAAGAAGCAGAGAGATCAAACCCAATTCAAAAGAGAAGAAGGAAAGAGTCTCATTTTTTATCGGAAAGCAGAGGCTTTAGAGATTTATCAAACATGGCAGAATGCTAGGACGGGGATGGCAACCTGAAAAAGTGACTCCCGAAGGGCACCCAGCAATTAGAGCTTCGTAGGAGGAAAGCACAGATGAGTCTGAGCACAAACGGGGGAAGGCTAGAGTAGGCAGCTACGCAGCAGGGTCCCAGAAGAGTGAGGAAGCTGAACAGGCTCCCTGGCAGCCCACGTGACCACAGAGGGTGCTGCAGGGTCCCAAGGGCCATCAGGACTGATGTCGGTGGGGCCCAGGGAGGGAGCTATGTGGGGAGAGACGCAGCAGGAAGTGGGGGTGTGGGCAGCCAGATGCCAGGCTACCACCCAGGGAATCCCCACCTTCCACCAGTTTTTTTGCACACACCAACAAAGCAAAAATCACTCTTACCTTCTGATGACTTCGCCAGAATTGTAGTACTAGGGCTGAGGGGTGCTGTGGTTCTCAGAGATTCTCTCCAGGTTGTTGGTGTCCGAATAAAGAATTGGGTAAAACATACGAAAAGGATAGTGAGGTTCAAGTTTGTTAAAGGTAGAAAAGAAGTACGCTCTGCAGAGTGGGCAACTAAAAGCTGCTGGTGACCACGAGCTTCATAGCAAGTGACTTTTATGTGTCCCATTCTGACATCAGATTTGGGCGGTGCTGTGAGAAACCTGGATCTCATGTCAGAAGAATTGAAGAGAGCATTTTCCTCCTGGGTCCCAAGTACTGGGCGTGGGCACATGCGTCCTGGATTTCCGGGACTGATGGGCTACACCCCACTGCCCACTGGCCCAGATGGCTAATTATGCTCTAATCTCCTGCCTCACTCCTGCCTCAGCCTCCCGAGTGCTGGCATTACAGGCGTGCACCACCAAGCCTGGCTTCTCTTTATTTTTTGTGTTTCTGGTTTCTATATTGAGGATACTGATTTTATTTTATTTTATTTTATTTTTGTCTTTTTAAGACAAGGTCTCTCAATGCAGTTCAGGCTGGCCTTGAGCTCACTTTGTAGCCGAGGCTGGTCTTGAACTTGCAACTATCCTCCTGTCTCAGCCTCCCAAGTGCTGGGATTACAGGAGTGAGCCATGATGCCCAACTACTGATTTTATTTAGTATTGATTTTTTTCTGGTTTCTTGTTCTTAAGGGAAACTGCTTAATTCAACAAAAATTAAGCAAAACCTTAATCTAGAATAGCGAAAGCACTAACCAAAGTTCATGGCATCATCCTTGCAGAGTGGCAAAAGAGAAAACCAAACCTCAGGGAGGAGAAGGGAAGGGAGCCCAGTCAACTCCAATCCAGCACTCCTTCCTTACCGACGTCTCCGACGTGCAGGAGATGGAGCGAGGGCTCCTCAGTCTTCTGAATGATTTCCACTCTGGGAAGCTTCAAGCCTTCGGTAAGCACTGAATGCTTCTCTTCTCTGTTTCTGTTTCTTTTGTTTCGTTTTTTTGGAACAGGTTCTCACTGCATAGTTCAAGGTGGTCTCACACCCTTGATGTTCCTGCCTTGGCCTCCAGAGTGCTAAGCCTACAGGTGTGTACCACCATGCCCAGCTGCTATTCCTCTTTGATTTATCTTTTTCTTTTATTAAAAAAGAGAGCCCATAGGCATTCATTGTGTTGTACTTCCGCAAAAAGGCTCCCAAGATGAAAAAAGAATGGGGCAAAATGACATCGTTTTAAGAAGAAGCGCTTTTATTTTAGCTGGACCAGCGACACAGTGCAGATGGAATTTGCAAAGCTGTGCAACTGAGTTAGAATTTTGACTGATTTTTAAAGTTCATTTATGATTAGCTCATTGATCATTAAGTACGTAGTGATGAGAAACAGAAACAAGGTGGGCCTTTGTTCCTCTTTGCTTGAGGTCAGAGGCATTTCACAGTGGGTGGTTAGCCAATTCATAGCCCTTGGACTGCCAATTCCAGAAACATTGTCTCTCATAAAGGGAACAACGGTTGACACAGCATCATTTGTCTTTTACAAGGGAACAAAATTGACACAGGGAACAGGTTACTAAGGTGGGAGGGAAGGATGCATACAAAATAGCATGATGACGCAGTCAGTTAATTTATAACAAATTTATAACAGTGTGGTCGGTGCTCCAGGTACATAGTTACTAGGGCGATAAGCATAGAGCACAACACATTGCAGCCGTACTAGACTTGTCATAGAAGATGATTTTTTGTCTTCCAAAACTTCTGTGGAAAGCTGTTTGATCTTTAGTGTTTTTGATACACGGTCTAACAGCCAGCATGATCTTCATGGTGTAAACACAGACACACACATTGCACACATGCACACACAGGCAATTTGGGCTCCGTTGTTTTACGCAGATGAGACCTTACACGTTTTTCTGTGTTTTGCTTTCCTTCATTAAACAATATTTAGTGGAAATCTCTGCAAATTACCTGGTCTAGCTCGATTTCATACTTTTCTTTTCCATGGCAACATGCATAATGTTCTTAGTTGTAAAGATACTGGTTTATTATTTCAGTCTTTTCCATATTAAAAAAGGATACTGTTCTCAGCTTTGAGCCACGAAATGCAACCATAGTGAACATCATTGTTCCGTTTGAGGCTGTTTGCTAAGGCTGGCCTTGAGCTTCGACCCTCCTGTATCAGTCCCAGGTCGCTGGGATTACGTGTGTGTGCTCTGTACCACTCTCCCACAATGAACAACTTTTATGTACACTCCTTTTCTCAGTGTTGGGGCTCGAAGCCTGGGCCCGTGCACACTGGGAAAATGCTCTGCCACTGAGCTCCATCACTGTTCCTACCTGGAGCTTTATTTATTTTTTTCTGAGACAATTTCTCAGTATGCATTCCAGGCTAGCCTCAGACTCACCACAGTCCTCCTGTCTCAGCCTGCTGAATGCTGGGACTCCAAATGTGCACCACTCACCTGCCCTGTAGTCTTACCTTGATGTTTTTACATTTTAAATGCACCCCCATGAGTGGGATTGTTGAGTTAGAGCATGTCTGTGATTTTAATTGTAATAGAAATGTCAGATTGCCTTCCAAAAAATTTATCATTTTTCATTTCTATCAGCAGTTTATGAAAAAAAAACCTTTCCCTGAATTGTCACCAGTGACAGATATAATGTCATTTAGTTTTTGTCAATGCGTTGATATAAAGTACAGTAAGATTTAAAAATTTACTATTAAACTTGGATATCCATGTGTATTTGGTAAGCAGCTGGAAGTGTTTGGAGGATACCTAGTTTTGAGTTTGGTTATTTTTGTTAACTTGTTTACATTTGTTGTTGTTAGTTGTCATCAGCTGATGTTTTGTTTGTTTGTTTGTTTGTTTGTTGTGGTAATGGGCATTGAACCCAGGCCTTTCACACTAAGCTACCTCTCCAGCCCTTTTGAATTTTTAATTTTGAGACAGGGTCTCACTAAGTTGCTAAGTTGCCCAGCTGGGCTCAAACTTAATGCTCCTCCTGGCTCAGTCTCCAGATTGCTTTTACATGTTTTTCTTACTATTCCTCTGACCTCTACTATGTTTCTGTTTTTACGTTTTATTTTGTCTGTGGGTTTTATGGTATTTTTAAGCTGAGTAAGTCTTTAATTTTGCATAGTCTTCTTTTATGTATCTGTCTTTTCCTTTATAGTTTATGAATTTCCAGTCCAGTTATTAAACACATTGCGTAGTTTACAGAAGTGCTGTATTCTCTCCTACGTCTTTGCTCTCTCCCATCCCGCGTGCAGTGTTCAGAATACTTTCACTCGCTGCGCTCCCTCCTCCCAGACCTTTGAGATGTCACCTTTACCGCTTCGCTGCCCCAGCATCCTTCTGCCTGGACTTACATGCCTTTGTGTTTTTGGATTAAGTTCTTTCTTGTATGTATTCATTACATGACTGTTTTCTCTAAGTGTTGTCGTGACAATTCTATTGCCAGTCTATTCTTTTTGGATTCTTTCTTACCATGTAATTAATTTTATTCTGTCTTGGTATGAAAATATTTTTTTCTTTAATCTTTAAAACTTTGACAGTTACCAGGCTGTACTTAGGACTGTGTCTTTCCCTGCCCGGAGCCAGTGAGCCTTTCATGTTTGCTGATTCCTCTTTCTTTTGCAGAACAGGTCTCCTCTGTCTACTTCTTCTTAGCCAAGTAGAGTATCTATTGTCCTTGTGTTGAGTTGCCTCTATCCCTCCTCCTTTTCTTCCATCTTTTCCACCGTGATTTCTGTCTCACTGTATTATCTGTATATATTTCTCCCTCTCTCTCTACACACACACACACACACACACACACACACACCCATACCCCCATACACCCATCCATCTTGAGGTATTTCTTCTACTTGATCCTTCAGGTTGGTAATTATTTAAATGGAAGAAATATATTTTATTATGAATAAAGGTGATTTTGAAAGTACTATAACTAATTCAGTATTAGTAGTCCTTAACTAATGTAGTATAGTTGTGAAGATGTTATAAAGCTTATTAGAAGAAACTAGTATAATATATTTTAAGTCACATTGATTAAAGATATGTACTTTAAATGAGCTGTTACATACCTGTGTAGTACCTTTAGGATAAACAAGAAGTCGTTTTTGAAAAATTATGGCATCAAGAAAGGAGGCTATACCTAAGCTGGATGAAAATATATAGTGTGCCATATGTATTTAAATTAATTGCTCAGGGCAAATAATATCACTGCAGTGAACTATAGTCAATAAATAATGTAACTTATTCTATAGGAAGTAAGCTGTCTTGTTCTACTGTACATACAGCTGGAAACAATACATTGTATTATTCATGCTTTATAATATTCTTCATGCTTCATACATACTTTCATTTATATTTCCTAAAGGAAGAATACGCAATTGGTTGGAAAAATACATTTTTACAGGACTGTCTCACTCAGCTTACTATAAAATGTTGGGTCACTCAATTCAAATTACAGTTGTCAAATAGGCCATAATTAGGTGATGCTATTAGGTGATATGCTGTTGAAGATAACCATATTTTCTCTTGTGTAATTTTTTTTTAAGTACCCAAAGTCATTTCTTAGGTTGGTCATTCTTTTCTGGTCAAAAATTTGATTTGCAGTTATACATATACAAGATACACCAGTATGTACTGCAAATGTGTACCAACAAAAGTAAAAATTTGGGAAAAAATACACCATCATTACCAGTTTACAAAAGAAAGAAAACAGATTTTTTTTTGAGGACCCTGAGATTGAAAGCTGTTCCTCAAGGCAAATATCTTTAACATTAATCTTCATTCAAGTTCTGGAATGTTCCCCAGGAAATGAGTGTTCCATAGAGCAGATGGAACATGTTCGGGGAATGCAGGAGAAGTTAGCCCGCTTGAATCTGGAGCTCTATGGGGAGTTGGAGGAGCTTCCTGAGGACAAGAGGAAAACAGCCAGCGACTCCAACCTGGACAGACTGCTGTCTGATGTGAGTATGCTTCTTTTGTCTACTCTTCGGATTTTTTTATTGTATTATAAATAATAACAAGATCACTTTTTTTTTTTTTTTTGTCTTTTTGAGACAGGGTCTCACTCTACAGTACAGTTTGGCCTTGAGCTCACTTTGTAGCCCAGGCTGGTCTCAAATTTGCCATGATCGTACGCCTCAGCCTTCCCAGTGCTGGGATTACAGGCATGCTCCACCATACCTGTAACCCTTTTAAAGTATATAATTCAGTGGTTTTTAGTATATCCATAGTGTTGCACAGACATCCCAGTGTCTAACTCTGGAACATTTTCTTCACTCTTGAAAGAAACCTGTACTCTTCGACCCCACCTTCTGCCCCAGCCACTTCAGGGGACCCTCTGCCTGCACAGATTTGCCTCGCTGTGGAATCACAAGACACGAGCCTCAAGTGGGCTCTTTCACTTAGTGTAGTGTTTTCAGGGTAAACCCATGTTATACTGTGCTCTTTTGTTCAAAGAAATAAACGCAAGTTATCATACATCTAAACATAGACTTTCAGAATACTGGCAAATCTAAAAAGAAAGTATTTGCTTCACTACATGTTATATATATGTGGATATTATCGTTATTATATGTGTACAGATCCTGAAATACAGGAATTAATTATCAAAGGCTTTTCCCCCGACATGACTAATGTACTTTGCATCAGTTACTGATTTTTAAATGCAGAACTGTGCTGGGTACTTCTGGCCTTGGGCGCCTAGCCACCACGTATGTGTTATTTTGCTGCAGCTGCTTTACCCAGGTACAGACTGGCTGGCTCAAGACAGGCTTTCTGTTCTCACAGTTCTAGAGGCTGCAAGTTGGAGGCCAAGGTGTTTATGGGACTGGTTTCTTGTCAGGCCTCTGTCCTTGTTTGATAGGTGCTATCTTCGTTCTTCTGTGGCCAGTTGCTTCTCTTTTAAAGGCACTGATCACCCTGGGTCAGGGCCCACCCTCATGACCTCATTTTGACTTCATCGCCTCTCTGAAGGTCTGTAGCTCTACTCACACCTGAGCTAATCTGGGTGGGCTAAAACTATGAATTTGGGGACAGGTGCACATGAGCCCATAACACCCTTGTGTAAGTATTAGAATCAGAAGTGTTTCTTAAATTTGCCTCTTTAAGTCATTTTGGAACAAAAGTAAATAAAAATTGAATTCAACACGCTTTATTTAAAATCCCATATTTACCACTGACTGACAGAAAGGGTCCGTTTCTATTGCCTTTTTTTTCATCTTTTGGAAAAGTAAATATCAGGGAAATTTTATGTTCATCCTTCTAAGATTTCAAGCCTGTACTCTTTATTTTAGATCTTTTATATTTAGTCTAGTCTTGTAATTATTTCTTTTTATACTGTGTTTTATTCCCCTTAACAAACATAAGCCTCATTTCCTTTACATTTAAGATAGTAATTGTGGTATCATTCCAAGAACATTAAATTTGAAAGCAGAAAGTGTTTTTATTTTAAGTCCAGAGCTTGTATTTGGGTTTTTAGGTTATACATACTATGTAACACCGAGCAATTTGGTCTACTGTGTTTTGCAGTACTGAGGATTGAACTCAGAGCCTTTGCGCTGAGCTACATCTCCAGTCATTTTTTAAATTTTTATTTTGAGACCTTGTCTCACTAAATTGCACGGGCTGTTTAACATTTTTGTAATGCAGTTTTTCTTCTGTAAATTGAGGGGTGCTGTGATCTGCATGTTTGGGTCCTCCCAGATGTCCTGTGTTGAAGTAGGGAGGACTTCAACAACTAGGCACTGGGGATTTGGGAGCTCATGAAGTCAAGAATGGGATCATAGCCCTGCTCAGTCCAGCATGGGAGGAGCTCTATCTCCCACCTGGTAGGGCACACCAGCAGGTGCCACTGTGTGAACCAGGAAGTGGATCCTCCTCAGACCCAAATCTGCAGGCATCTTAGTCCCTGACTTCCGGTTCCCGGAGCTGTGAGAAGGGAATTTCTGTTACATGAGCTATGGCAGCAGTTACGGGTGTTTTGTACAGCAGTCCAAACACACTAAAACAAGGGACGATACAGTCTACTTGGTATTGAAAGCTAGATCTCCGTGTGAAATATTTTTGTAATTCATAAAGCTTTCAAAGATTGTGATCATTAAAATGTCAGTTTTTTCTTTTAAAGCTATTATTAGAGGTTATTGTAATTATACATAGTTTTAAGGTATATCTACAAAACTCCAATTTTTATCATCTTTTTCATTTTACCCTTACATTCTTCCTTTATAAATGCTAAAATTCCTTTATAATTGTTTTACAAAAGTATTTTCACAGTCTGGAAAGGTTTTAAAATTTTTTTTCTTAAGAAATCTTTTCTTAGCCAGGGATTTAGCTTAGCAGCATAAGCACTTGCCTTGCAAGCACTAGGTTGTGAGTCTGATCCCTGGTACCAAAAATAAAAAAAAAAAAAAAGATCTTTTCTTCTACTGGGTGTGGTGACCTAAGCCTGTAATCCTAGCACTTAGGAGGCAGAGGAAGTAAGTGCACCATGAGTTCAAAACCAGCCTGAGCTACACAAACTATGTCTCAAAAAAAAAATTTTTTTTTCATTTTTTCTTTCATTTAAAGAAGGTGTAAATGAGATACTATATTTTAAAATGTATGATTAACAATGTGTAGTTAACAGTGGCCTGTCTATATATTTTCTTATTAAAATTAAATTTGTTTCTTTGTCTTACAGTTAGAAGAATTGAATTCTTCTATGTATCCTTTTCCTATTATCAACAGTGAAAACCTTATAATTTCTAATTGCCATCATATTTTCATTTAGTGCGGTGTTTGGGGCAGCAGGAGAGGACCCACTTAGGAGGGTCCCGAACTAGCTCAATCCAGGTTTGTATATAGACAACTTGGTTAGGGTGTCCAGGTGTCCCAGAGATGACCTGACAGACCTGTTGACAGAAAGAGAGATTAGAGACCCCAAAAGTGGGCAGAGTTTTCCTGGTAAACTGGTTTGCTGTAGGAAGACGCTCTCTGGGAAATACCTGAAAATGGTTAAGAATACATTGCAGGGTGACAAAGAAGCAATAAAAAGCGAGCCCTGGTCCTAATTCCCGTCCTTTTGGTATTAAAAATAGCTGGCTCTACAGCACCGAGAACCACAGCCCTTGTAGTGAGAGACCAGAATTACCAAATACTAAGCAAAAAAATAGACTGTGATCTGCGTACACTTGAACAAAATGTTTATCACTTAGAGAGTTTCTAAACGCCCTGGCTGAGATGGTCCTCCGGCACCGGTGAGGTCTAGACTTCCTATTCCTAAAACAGGGAGGTCTGTGCCTAGTCCTTGGTAAATTCTGTTTTTATACCAACTATTCAGGAGTTATTAAGGATAGTCTTAGCTCAAAAAGTGCCTAGCTGATAAGAGAGAGAGAGACAGAGAGACAGCATCAACAGAGCTGATATAAAAATTAGTTCTCCTTCACCCCGTGGCTGACCACCTTACTTTTGGCCCTGGCAGGACCCTTGGTTTCCCTCTTGCTGGCCATCACTGTTGGCCCCTACGTGATAAACTGTTCAATGCATTATATCCAATCTATTAAATTAATAGTTATACATTCCCATTATGAGGATTTATAAAATTTAGATTAAAAATGACTTTTAGATAAAAAAAGATGACCAGGAATCAAGGATTTGATTCATATACTAAAACCAGTAGGAAATGTTGTAGCTTGACATAATTGACATCATCTTGTGCCGTGTTTGACTTGTGCTCTGTATGTGACCTAGTAGAGTAACAGATTACTCAGGGTACAAATCCCATGAGAAAAGCAGAATGAGCTGCACCCACAAGAGAAAAAATTAACCTGCTCTACAAAGAAGCAGGATACAGGTGTCAATCAAAGTTAATGTAAGGTTCTAGCGAAGCTGTTTGCAGCTTGCTTTGCAGTTTTCTGCTTTAAATGCTGGGTAACCCTCTAGTTGGGGCCACTTGTTTTGACTCTAAAACAGGGTCCACGGGTGGTCGCTGAGCTTAGCTAACAAAATCCCAAAATTTGTCAGTTTGGCTGCTTGGATTCCTATATTGTTTGTGAACCCACTGCATATGTATTTAATCTTTCCTTTCCTGATTCCCCTCTCTGTCATCACTACCTTTGTTTTTTCAACATGCAAGAATGTTTTAAAATCCCTTCCCTAAGCACAGCCGACACCATAATCAGTCGTGCTGCTTTCTGCCATTCAGCATGGACTTGGCCGTGAAATCGACTTGGTGTCACTTAACTGTAGTTGTCAGGTGTTGTCAGTTCTGCTTTTATTCTTCCTTTGTCCTCTGTGTGATAACGCAGGCCCTTGTCGCCTGATTACATACCTGTTCCTTTCTCTGTTCCAATCTAGGGCTTTACTGTACAGTGCGGTAAGATCTGCATTGCTGTTGAGCACAGGAAATGTGACCACCCTGAGTTAAAATGTGCAAAAGCATACTAAGCACACCTGATTTCAAAGACTTCATATGGAAAAATATAGCTTGAGCTTTATAATGATTACATGTTGAAATTTCTTTTAAATATATCTGAGTAAACAGCATGTAAGTGTTATTAAAATTGGATTCACTTCTTTTTCCTTTTAATATGGCCACCTAAAATTTAAAAATTATACCTGTGGCTGGCATTTCATTTCTATTGGACAGTACTGCTTCAGACTCGCACTCCTGACCACTCACTTGCAAGGCAGGCGCTTATGCCACTGAGCTAAATCCCCAGCCCCAACATCGCTTTCTTGCCATTCTATTTCTTGCTGATTTTTAAACCATGTTGAATCTTTTAATGGCTTTGAATAATTTGGTCACACCCTGCTCATCCTGTTATTTTCATTGCCATTTAGCTCATGGTTATTTTGTTTTCATTTGCTTTTTGTTTATTTGAGACAGGGTCTCACTGTGTAGCCCAGGCTGGCCCCAAACTCAGTGATCCTCTTGCCTCAGCCTCCCAAGTGCTGAGATTACAGGCCTCTGCCACAACGCTGGCTTAGAGCCATATTTTGGCTGTCCACAGACCTGTGATGTTCATTCTCCCCTTTACACCTCTGTCGTCTCGTTTCCCTTTCTCCCTGGCAAACTGTACTAGAGCTGAGCTGGCTGCTTCCATTCTTTTGCTTGTCCTGAAGCCAGCTGTTACTCAGCTTCTCATCATTGTATTAAAATACCTGAGATAAATCAAATGAAAAGGAAGAAAGGGGTTTTTTGCTTACAGTTTCCGAAGCTTCCATCCAGGATTGGTTGGCCCTGTTGATTTAGGCCCCGAGGGCATAGTATATCATGGGGAGGAGGTGACAAGGATACTGTTCATCCCATGGTGGCCAGAAGTATAGAGAGACACAGGAAGGGGATAGGGTCTCCGTATGTCAGGGGCCCAATCTTAGTGACCTGACTCCCTGGCGTAACATGCACCTGTTTGTTGTTAAGACACTCACTGTGTTGCCCATGCTGGCCTGGAACTCCTGGGCTCAAGCAGTCCCCCTGCCTCAGCCTTCTGAGTAGTTCGGACTGTAGGTATGGGCCCCCCCACCCCAACCTTAAAGGTTATGTCACCTCTTGATAGTGCTGCAGGCTGGTGTCCAAGTGGGTCTTTAACACGTTCAAGATCCCAGCTGTAGAACTAGTGGTCTGTCTTACTTTATTATCTGCTGATTTTTGTATGTTAACTGTTGTCCTTCCCTTTGAACAAGAAGGCCTCTGATGGCCGTGTTCAGAAGTGCACATTTTTGCAGCCTCTACTATGCATGTATCACCAGTGTTAGCTGCTCTCAGTGTATCCATATCATGGTTTGGATTGTGTCTTAAAAAATAAGCACTGTGGCTGGGTGTGGTAGCACACACTTGTAATCCCAGCACTTGGGAGGCTGAGGCAGACAAGTCTGGGCTACAAAATGAGCTCAACGCCAGCCTGAGCTACATGGTGAGACCTTGTCTCAAAAACCAGGCAGTGCCTGGATAAATTATGTACATTAAAGAGGAAAATGAAAGGTGATAGTATGAAAGGAAGAGAATAAGATACACATGAATCCATCCCATTCCCAGCCTCATGTGTGTATGTGTGTGTGTGTGTGCACATGCACCCATTATTGGGGATCCAACTCAGTGCCTTTGCACCAGAGTACATCCCTAGCGCTTTTTGATTATTATTGTTGTTGTTTGTTGATTGATTCTTGCTGAGTTGCAGAGTTGCCGGAGCTGGGCTTTAATTTGTATCCTTCCTGCATTGGCCTCCCACAATATTCCCATGGCTGCTTCATGAGCCACAGTGTGTAGCTGTAACAATCTTTAATCAGTGATTTTTAAAAACCTTGTAATTTGAGGCATATTATAATTCCTTACATTTAAAAATTGTGCTGGATGCGGTGGCACAAACCTGTAGTACCAGCACTTGGGAGGCTGAGGCAGGAGGATTGCTGTGAGTTCAAGTCCAGCCTGTATATAGCGAGACCCTGTCTCAAAAAACAAAAAATTGTGTCATTGCATCCAAGTGTCTCAGTAACATAGCAGCTTTCCCTGTAAGCATATTTCCTTTCTTTCATTCCTTTTTTTCCAAATACTTCTGCCTTTTAGTTCCCAAGTGTAATTTCCCAAAATATAAAAGAAGCACTCCTTATACAAGAAACCCTTCTTGGGCCAGAGATTTAGCTCAGTGGCATAAGCACCTGCTTGGCAAGCATGAGGTTGTGAGTTCAATCCCAGTACCAAGAAAAAAAAAAAAAAAAGACAAGAAAAGAGAAAAGAAACCCTTCTTAACGATGACTTCAGACAAAAACTGCACTTGGCCGATGCGCAAGATGTCCCAAACACTTCGACCAGCTGACTGAAACGCAGTCTGCTTTCCTGGGATTCGCAGCATAGCTGCTCACTTTACTTTTCCAGCTGAATCCGGTACCAGCAGCATCTCGCACCCAGGAATCACAGTAATTAAAGTGCCAGTTCTGGGTCCTTCGCTTACTCTGCTTCTAGTAAGTCTGCTTGCTCTCAGCACCGCGGGTGCAGCGGGGCGCAGCCTCGCTCGAGCCCGTCAGGAGCTGCCGTGCAGGCTTGTGCTGCTCGCCTCTGACTGCTGCCTTATGGGTCATACTTGAAATGCATCGTGCCCACAGCGCTCGCCCGGCCTGCGCTGTGTCCTCCCTGAGCTGCCCCGCGTACTCCAGGCAGTGGAGTTCTCGTGGCAGGCCGGCTTCTGTTTACCTTAGACAATCAGCACGCACGCAGGTGTGTGTTCCAATGGCCAGTGACAGCAGATGTTAAATGAGTGCCTGTGAGATTGCTATTTTTAATAAAGTGATTGATTTCGATTTGGTCTCTGTTGTCTCTCTGGAAGACTGTTGAGTCTGCAGCCTGGGAATGGAAGGCGTCAATTCTGAGAAGTTCACTGAGTTTCTGTAACTCTCTACCAAGTCTGTACCTTTTGCACATTTCAAGATGGTACTGAGAGAACACGTGGTGTGATTGAAGAGCGCAGTGGATGTTTAAATTTTTAAACTGTTTATTACAGTTAAAGCACGCCTTGCTTTGAACCCACGTACCTCATCAGTGTTGCCGCATTCTGAAGCAGCTCCAGAAGGCCTGAGGTGTGTTGTCACGGCTGCCTCCGCGCTCTGAAGCCTTTCCTTTGCAGGCACTTGGAGGTGGAGGAAGAACCAAAAGTTGCACAGTGCCGGATCTGGAGAGGCAGGCGGACCAGGCCGCCTGCTGTGTTACCAGCCGGCGTCTGCGCCAGAGGGCTCGCGGCAGCAGCACCCACTGTTCTCCGTTTGTTTGCTTGTATTTAATCCCACGTCATAAAGACCTGGGCACAGTGGGGTGAGGATATTCAAAGTGAGTGCTGCCAAGGAGGTTAATGGCAGTGTGTCTTTTACTGTAATAAATGTGCAGAATTTAAACATTCACTGTATATACTGATCACCCTTGATTCAGACTCCAACCCTGACCCTGGGCTTTGTGTATGTGTATACTTACTCAGCTTCAGTTTGTGATTTTTGATTTTTGTTTCAAATCTGGAAAGTGAGCTGGATAACCAACTGAAAAAGTGCACATAAGATGCTTAGCACAGCAGCTGACAGCAGTGCACAGCAAACATGAGCATTAGGTCTTCCAGACACTCTTTATTAAAGCAATTCATCACATTTGTCTTTTTAAAAAGTCCACAGGTCAGTGATTTTTTTAAAAAAATGGATGCATTCCCATCACTAGGAACTAAGCCTGTTTGTCTTTTTGGTGGCACTGCTGGGAGCCAAACCCATGGCCTTGCACATGCCTGGCAGGTGCTGTACTGTATGTGAGGGGCGTCCTCGTCCCAGAATGTGTTCATCACCCCGACGGGGCCCAGTCGGTCACTTCAGCCCTGCACCTCTCAGCGATGGCAGCCACTAGTCAAAGCTCTCTTCTCCTTCCCGCCCCCTTTCTTTTGTTCTGTTTTTCAGGACAAGGTCCTGCTTTGTAGTTCAGGGTAGCCCCAAACTTCGGGCTTCTTCTGTTTCAGCCTCCTGAGTCTCAGATTACCGGCATGTATCACACACCCAGCTCAAAATTACATTTCTATGGGTTTCTTTTGTAGGTTTTTTATATAAAAAGAATCATACAATATGTGGTTTATTGGTCTTGGTTTCTTTTATTTTGCATATATTTTATTAGCATGTTTGTGATACACAGTTATAGTTGTTTTAGGGAAAAGGCGCATGCTCACATCGCGTTTTAATCATCTTTGTCTCCCTCCCGCCTCAGAGCACGTGTCTGGCTGGCTCGTATTCACTCCAGAATGGAGATGCTCCTGCTTCTGCCTCAGTGTTTCCAAGCTGCAAAAATAAGCACCTAATTGGAACCAAGCAATGGAGGAATGACCAGGCCAGGTGGCACACTCGCATAATCAGAGTACTCAGGAGGCTGAGGCAGGAGCATTTCCATGAGTTCGAGGCCGACCTGAACTACATAAGGAGACCCTTTTTCAAAACAAACAAAAAATAAAACAACCACGAGAGGGGTAGAGACCCATTGAATAGAACAAGAAAATCTTGGTACTGTAATTTTTGGTGTTCTGAATTCAGAGAATGTTGATTAATTTATGAACTTGCCCCTCCCTCTTTCCTTTCCTTTCCCTCCCTCCCCCTCCTCGTATCAAATCCAGGGCTTCATGCATGTACTCTACCACTAACTGGGCATTTTAATATCTCTTTAAAAATGAGAAAGTCACCAGAGCATTATATGTATTATATATGATGTAAGACTTTCAGTTCCTCGAGAGATTAGAGATTTATGAGGGGAAATAGTCTGCCAGGGCAAAAGGAAATTTAGCCATGTGACATGGTTTTTTTTGGATTGGTCCTGAGATAGTATAAAACAAAATCTGTTTTTGATGGGTTAGTGACAGAACAGTAGATTTATTATTATTATTACAGATAATTTTGATTAATAATAGTATGTTCTAAGTCCGCATGCACTTTATCATGTATTTGCAGTATTTTTGATATACAGTTGACAGCTTTGATATATATACATTTTAAAAATTTAATTGATTTATTTTGAGACAGGGTCTCACTACGTAGTTCAAGCTGGCCTTGAACTCACTATGTGGTGTAGGCTGGCCTTGAACTAGTGGTGATCCTCCTGCATCAGCCTGCTGAGTGCTGGGATGTCAGGCATGCACCACTGTGCCCAGCTAGCTTGGGTATATTTTGAATATGACAGTTTGACCAAATGAGTAGATGTCCTCCTTTTCCCCACTCCTTTGACTGATTACCCAGATTAATGGGCTCCATTCTGACTGACTCATACACGCACATAACACTTAGATCGTGCTAACCCCGCATTATTCCCTGCCCTATCCTGGCCCCTCTGTTCATGCTTGGAGGAGGTTCTGTGCACAATCACCCCGTCCCCTCTCTCCTCCTCACTCCCTTCCCCTGTCTGTTAAGTCTGCCTTCTACTTGTCTTTGTTTTTATTACACCTGTTAGGGAGAACATGACGCGCTGGTCCACCCTTGTTTTTCTCCCTTTGTTGTGTGCTGGTTTTTTGTCCTGTTCTGTTTTGAGACACTGTCACCGTCTGTTACACAGGCTGGCCTGGAACTCTTGGCTTCCAGCAGTCCTGCCTCAGCTTCCTTTCTGAGCAGTTTGGATGGAACTCCAGGCCAGGTTGATGTTTTCTTTATTCATTTGGTCCACTTGTCCTTTTTGTCAAAGGTCCCCATGTGAGTTCAGATAACAGAAGTTTAGCTTCTCTAATTCGTATCCTTGTGCATTCCTTAAACATATGCTAGAGCAACAAGGAAAAAGTGAGGGCCCTGGATAAGAAGAAAATTTCATTAGAATAATATTTTTTACATAGACTTGTCTTTCCATTATAGAAAAATTTTAATTACAGATGATTTGACAATCAGAGCATCATTTAATCTATTTGTATACTTGCGTACATATTTCTAAACTTAAACTTTTTAAAAAAAATCATACAATTTGGCTTTCTAAGGCACATTTTCTACGTAACATATTATGAGCATCTTTCCAGGGTGGTAGCTACTGCAAAAGGTGTGTGTGTGAAAGAGTTAAAAGGCTTCGCAAGGAATTCCTCAGGTTGTCTTGACCAGAACCATTAGGTACTTAGGAAGGGTATTTTTTGTTTTTGTGCCTCCCATAGTCTGCTAAAACTGGCGATAATAAGTGTGAAGATTTTCTGAGGATTTTCTTGGTAGAGTAAGAAACTGTGCTTTCCCACCTCCCAAGTGAAAGCCCAGGGCTTTTGTGAAACCCCAGTGAGCTGGCTCAGTTTGCAAGGGAGGGCAGCACTGGGCTGGGCAGTGGCCTCAAGTGTTGTGGTCCCCATGGAGACGTGGAAGGCCTTAACCGCGCTCCTGTGTAGCTGCAGGCTGGGCAGCTGGCCCTCACCCTTGGGCTGAAGAGGAGCCGGCACTGCTGCACCCAGCTTGGGCCACTCCTGGAGGTAAAGCCCTGGGCTTCACAGGCCTGCAGGGCCTTAGCTGGGGCAGTGTGGTCCAACCTCCCAGAGCACCCAGGAGGGTGGGAGGGGTGTGAAGAGCTTCATCTCACTGGAAAACTTCTTCTTAGGACCTCAGACTGGCTCCCACTGACTCCCTCAGTCCTGTCCCCCGTCACCTCTGACAGGGAAATCCCAGATATCTACAGTGAGTAGTGTTGTAACCACAGCCCTGAAGGTTATGAGCTAAGGTTTGATGAACGGGATAATGAATGAATGAATATTGCTAAGGGTCTTTTAAAAGGTACGGATGGGCTGATTGAGAAAGTTGCCATGTCATCGGGACGGACTCCCCCACATGGTTGGTGTGAAAGTCCACTGAGGCCCCTGCGCTTGTGTTGAAGGCCATCTGTTCTGCAGGAGCCTGACCTCTGTGCTCCTGGGGAACCTCAGAGATCATTTTCCAAACCAGTGCTTTCAGGGGGAGAAACTCGAGCGGGGGGCTTGATGTTTTTAGAGCAGGTAGACAAGTTACCTTTCCCGAGTGACTCAGGTCAGTGTGGTTGCTTCCTGTTTAAGGCCCTCCAGTTAGGTATTTCCCGTCACCATCAGCGCCGTCAGTGTAGATTTCCTCAGCACGGCCAGACCTGCCTCTCCATTTCCTTAGGCTTGTGTTGAATGGGCTGGTTTTGCAGCCTTGCATGTAGCACATGTAACTGGACTTGACCTCTATCTGTTTTGTCACTAATTACACTTTTCTTGTATGCTAGTTCTTTTCTGCAGTTTTTGCAACCAAACAACCTCTTGGGAGACATATTTTTAAGGAATTAAATTTTAGGTACTAATGAACCATTGAATAATTTGCATGGGAATTGCAGAAATGCTCAAATGTAGGTGCTTCTGTGCCAAGGAACAAGGACTTCGTTTTAGTTTTCTAAGTTCCTTGTCTGCAGTAGTAGAGCAGCACCAGCCTGATTTGCGTTTGTCCGGCTGTGCAACAAATCACCTGCGGAAACATAGTTTGCTGACTGCATGGCTTTTCTGACTTACCCCAGGAGCGATGTATCTCTCTGCATGCACTGGCTGCCATCTGATCTTTTAATCTGGGGCTGGTTATTCTGAATTTTAAATGTTTTTTATTCTCTCAACACTCACATGCTTACTTAACATGGCACTGTGTCTCTGGTTACCAAAATGTCTGACTTCTTCCTACCAACAGCCAGTGCTCCAGTGGCACCCAACTGGGGTCTTGTATTTGGCTCCGTGCTGAGTCCTGGAGTTGGTGTCAGGTCCCACGGGTGAGGGTTTAGACCTTAAGATGCCCCCACCCTGTCAGGTCCTGTGTTAGCCACTCTGTCACTATAACAAAGACTCCTGATACCAGCTGAGAATGAGGAAAGCTTTCTCTTAGCCCATAGTCTGGGAGACTCCAGTCCATGACTGGCCAGACCCATTGCTGTGGGTCTGTGGCAGGATGGCCCACCATGGCGGTAGTGCACAGTGCCTCAGAACTGCTCACAGGGAGCAAAACAATAAGACAGGGGAGAGGGCTGGGATCTCACCGTCCTCTTTGAAGGTGTGGGACCTAAAACACCAGCCCGCATTTCATAAAGGTTCTGCCCACCAATAACTCTGAGCTAGCGACCAATCCTCGAACACTGGGGGCTTTCATGTAAGACCCACACTGGCAGATGCCAGCCACAGGGCCAAGGTTGAGACCCATGGTTCTGACTGATCAGCCCTTCCGGGCTTCTACGACTGCCCTCTCAGATTTGGTTTATTCACTGGGATGGCATGCAGGAGATGCCCGGGGAAGGTAATGGAAGGGGGCATGGAGCCCTCTCCAGGTACCTCCGGGTATCTGAAGCCCTCAGAAGCCTACTTTTTGGGTTTCCATAGAAGATTCATTATGGAGACATGGCTGCTTATACCTTTGACCACTGATGATCAACACAACCCTCCCCCCACCCCGCCTTTCCCTTGGACCTGTGTCTTAGTTACTTTTCTCTCATTGCTGAGACAAAATACCCGACAGGTCAAGTTAAAGGGGAAAAGGTTATTAGCCCACAGTTCATAGAGGTTCAGTCCATAATCACTGGCTCCGAGGCAGGGTGGCGCATGGCAGAGGGGCTTCCTCACACTTCTGGAAGCTGGGAACTCCAACAAGATCAAGGTGGCAGCAGGCCTGGCTGTCTGGTAAAGGTAGCTGTGCACTTTCAAAGTGGTGTTTGCTGCATGGCGGAGAGAAACGCTGTGTCTTCACACGACAGGAATCCGGAGAGTGCGAAGTCTCTTTCACCATAAGGGCCACAGAGGGAGGTGGGCTCGTTACTTCTTACCCTCTGGAAGGTCACCTCTTGTTACCTTGGCCTTCACATTTCGGCACCTGAATTTTTTTTTTTCTTTCTTTTTTTTTTTTTTTTTTTTGGTCTTTTTCCTTTTTATCGGTACCGGGGATTGAACTCACGATTGCCTGCTTGCAAGGCAGGCACTTATGCCACTGAGCTAAATCCCCAGCCCCTCGGCACCTGAATTTTAAAGAGAGGGAACTCACTGAAGCCGTAGCAATGTGAACAGTTACTCATTACTCATTCAGCACACTTTTGGCAAACGCCTGCTCTGTGTGTAGGTGCCCAGAGACCTCAGCTTCCAAGAGTTGATGCTCTTTTGGGTCTTCTCTCCTTAAATTGGGCTGGACTTGGTTCTAAGGCAGGGATTGGAAAACGTTTTCTGTAAGGGTTAAGATAATAAACATACTGTATTTGGCTTTGTGAGCCATGTGATTTTCTTTTTTCTTTTTTTTTTTTTTTTTTTTTTTGGTGCCAAGAATTGAACTCAGGACCTTGCACTTTGCAGGCAGGGACTGTTCCACTGAGCCTTATCCCTGTCACCATATGATTTTTCTTCCCATTCATCAGTTTTGCTGTAGCAGTATAAAAGCAGTCATACACAGTGCATGTAAACTGTATCACTATGTTCCAATGATGCTTTACTTGTAAATCTAGTGGTGGGCCAGAAATGGCCTGTTATCTGTGTTTGCTGACCGATACTCTGACTAGTCAAAAAGTAGTGGCAATTCACTTCTGAGATTACGTTGCTGTGGCTTGCATCTTGCCTGCCCTGTCCTGCTCTTTTTCTTATGCACTTGAGACGAAGCAAGCTGCCATTTTGTGAGGTGAACTGTGGAGAATCCAACATGGAGGCTCTGGCCAACAGCCAGCAAGAAACTGAGACCCTCATTCTGGCAGTCTGTGAGGAACTGGATCCTGTCGGGAACGCCAGACGATCCTGGAAAGGAGTCCACCTTGAGGTGACTACAGCCCCAGCTGCCTGGACTGTGAGGGACGCTGTGCTAGAGGGCCCCCCAAACAGTGCCTACATGCCTGACTCAGAAGAACTGTGAGATAGTCAGTGTTCCTCATTTTAAGCCACTGATTTCTTTTTTGTTTTTGCTCCAACTGGGGTATTTTATTTCCTTAAAGTAGACAGTCTTTGACTTTCATATGGTCACCAACTCCCCTCTTTCTCTCTGTATCTCTTCAAGTCCTTGGCTGTGATTTTGCTTACTGACTTTGGGCTCCTGGATACCAGACAAAACTGAGGAGAGGAGACTTGGCAAGGACTCCACTGGTGCCTCCCATCTCAGCAGCAGGGATTCACACTTACCACACAGCCTCAGGCAAGGTCCTTCCACAGCCAGTACCCGGGGCTCCCTCAGGCCACAGTGCTGGCTGTGCCTCCACAAAGTCATTGCAGCTCCTTGCCAATCTGAGGATCAAAGTGTGCAGGGGTCTGGGGTGGGGTGTAGAGGTACCATGCTCACTTACTCTTCCTTTACTTGGCAAAGCCACAGATAATTTACAGTATACATACTAAGACATTTAGCTCTTCCTCATTCACTCCTAGGTGAAGAAACTTCTTTAAATGTATCACATTTATTTTTCTTAAATAAAAACAAAGCAGAAACCAGGTGGCACAGCTCTTAGGAGGCTGAGGCAGGAGGATCAGTTTCAAGGCCAGCGTGCACTGCATAACGAGATCCTGTCTCAAAAAGCAAACAACAACCAAAGACAAAAGTTGCACTAATAATAGGACATAGCAGAGGCTGATGTACAACATGTGTTCTGTAAGGCTGGTACAGGGCTACCATTTGCCCCAGAAGTCTTTGGAACAGGAAGGCAGAATCATCCATATAACAACTTTTCTACTCAGCAAGCCAGACACAAAAAGGACCACTTAAAAACAATGTTTTGAAAAAAATCTGTGTTTAAAAAGAATACTCAATTTGCATTTGATTTGGTAAAGAACAACAACAAAAATTGGAAGAGAAAATGTCTGAATTTATAAAACATCAGACCAGTAGAAGAAAACATGGAAACTGAGCTGGCCTAGTTTGAAATAGATCATGCCACTTGTTTCATTGTGTCGATTTCTGCTGCACAGTTTAAAAAGAAGTGTGAGGGGTTAGCTAAGTGGACACTGCGCCAGACTCCTGCAAGAAGGCCCAACCCAGAACACAAAAAGGGAGCGGGGCCGCAGAGTGCCTTTCTATACCGCTTCTGTCTCTTACAAGCTTTCTTTTGCTCAATAAATTCTTATTACTCTACCTCTCTTGTTCCTAGAATTCATTCTTCAATTTTAAGGAACATGAATTTAGCATTTTGGACACCCAGTAGGTTGGAAATTTCTTCTCCCTATTACAATGGGACAACAAAAGAAGGTTAAAGTGTGAGAGTTTAACGTTTATTTTAAGGTAAAAGAAGCAGAACTGATAAAGAAATGAACTCTGAGAGAAAATATTTTCTGCACACACAGAAGGCAGAGGCCGGGAGGTCACACGCCATCTTGCAGAGCGCCTTCTGACGTCATACCCGGCAGCCCCCGCGGCGGTTCTGGCCCGCCTCCCGGCAGTGACGGACAGGTCTCCATGAGTGACGGGTTAGGCGAGGCCGTGCAGTGGGCTTGCCAGGCCCACGTCTCCTGTTCATCCCTACGTGTGCACATTT